GGAGATGTGCAGGAGGCAGCTGATCGATGTTTCTCTCTCATCGATGTTTCTGACTCTCTATCTCTCTTCCTTCCTCTCTGTAAAAAATCAATAAAATATATTTAAAAAAAAAAAAAAAAGAAAGCAGGTATCTGGGGTTTATTTATCTTCTGTAATTGAAACTTTGTTGTCTTGAGTGGAGCTCAGAGCCTACCACGGCAGGCGGGAAGCTTGGCTTCCTCCATCACTGGGGCAACCAAGCCTCCTGCTTGCTCCAGCTCCGTGGCTGTCGGCCGCCATCTTGGTTGGGTTAATTTGCATATAGTCGCTCTGATTGGCTGGTGGGCGTGGCTTAAGGCATAGCGAAGGTAAGGTCAATTTGCATGTTTGTCTTTTATTAGTGTAGATAGTGTTCACTGGATATGTCTTATACTTCTTTTGTTAAATTATTCCTATTTTACATCTTTAAAGTGTATCATAAATAGAATTGTTAGCTGACTTTTTCAGATTGTCCACTGTTGGCATACAAAAATACAATTGATTTTTATATGTTGATTTTGTATCCTATGACCTTACTGAACTTATTTGTTAGTTCTAATGGTCTTTTAGTGGGTTCCTTAGGGTTTTCTTTATACAGGGTCCTGCTGTGAGTATTGTAACGCCCCCGCCCCCGCCCGCCCAGAAAGCCTCTTCCTCATCCAGCTGTCCCACGTTTGACCTGGTCTCCCCCAGGAGGACCCCTCGCTGGAGAGGCATTTTAAGGGCCACCGAGATGCAGTTACCTGTGTGGACTTCAGTCTCAACACGAAGCATCTGGGTAAGAGGAGGCATCTTGTCCTGGGCACGAGCTGAGGAGGCCAGGCGTCCCCCAGGAGGTGTGGCCTGGGGAGCAGGGCACTGTGAGGACCCACATGCTCCCTCTGGACCTGCATCGCCTTCAGGCAGCCTGCTCTCTGAGTGCTGGGCTTCGAGGTGTGAGGCTCAGAGAGGCTGGGCGCCTTCCAAAGAGTGAACACGGCCTTTGAGGGTGGGACTGGGTTCTGTAGTTCCCCCCCTTGGATCTGGCCTGTGGAGTGGGCCCTACACAGCGGCTCCTTTTCCTCAGGCCTCCACTGAGTGTTGTCCACGGTGATGTGGGTGCGCCTAGGAGAGGCCACCAGAGGGAAGGATGTGGAGCAGGCCCAGCACCCTCCCCCCCGCCTTGTGCTGCAGCTGTGCCCGCGCGGGGGTTCATGCGCAGCTGGCGTGGCTGTGTCTTGCTTGTTTCTTTGGGCGAGATTCCCTCTTCATCTCAGGGGCGAGGTCCCTGCCAGAGGCTGCTGGTCTTGGAAACTAAAATCATTTTTGGTCCATTTTGGGGACCTCCCCTGGCTTCTGAGTGGTCAAGGCCATTGGGTTGGACTTGCTCCCTAGTGCCCTCAGGGGGTGTCTGGGAGACCTGCAGCCAGGGCTGGTGCAGGAAGGCGTCTCTGGTCCGGTTCCCATGCGGGCCTGCTTCACTGGCCTGGTCGGCATTCACTGGAGGTGTGGCCTGTGCCCGTGGGGCCAGGGGAGCTGCTGCTCTCCTGTCCCGGTCACCCAAAGCCCTGCAGGAGACTCGAGGCCCAGCAGAGCCGAGGGTCAGGTGTCCCGCTCTCCTCAGCCAGCGGCTCCATGGATTCCTGCCTCATGGTCTGGCACATGAAGCCCCAGTCGCGTGCCTACCGCTTCACGGGCCACAAGGACGCCGTCACCTCTGTGAACTTCTCCCCTTCTGGACACCTGCTGGCCTCGGGCTCCCGAGACAAGACTGTGCGCCTCTGGGTACCCAATGTGTGAGTTCCGGACTTTGTGGTCCTTGTCTGAGCCTGGGGCCCTGGGGCCAGCGCTGTCCCCACCCAGGTCCCCATCCTGGTCTGGACGGTCACCGTGGGACATCTCCCCACTCCCGAGGAGGTGCCATCAGAAGCTGAGGCTTCATGGGGGCCCTCCCATCAGGGTCGGGAGAGGAATTGGGGGCTGAGCCCGGCCATTGTGGAAACGACACGCCTGCTGCTGCTGCACGTGGGTGACGCGGGGGCTCTGGACACTCAGGCCTGGGTGGACTTAGGGAAGGGCTCCCAGGGGTAGGGCCAGCTTTGAGGCCAGAGGCCCTCACGTCGCTGATTCTGGATGCCTGTCCTCGCAGCAAAGGTGAGTCAACGGTGTTTCGTGCCCACACGGCCACAGTGAGGAGCGTCCATTTCTGCAGCGATGGCCAGTCCCTCGTGACAGCCTCCGACGACAAGACAGTCAAGGTGTGGTCGACCCATCGCCAGAAGTTCCTGTTCTCCCTGAGCCAGCACATCAACTGGGTCCGCTGTGCCAAGTGAGCGTCCTGCCGGAGACTCGGAGGCACCGGGGGTGGGGGGCACAGAGGGCCTGCCAGGTGCCAGCATTGTGACCTCGGGCACATTAGCCACTCCATAATCTTCCTGAACCTCAGCTTCCTTATCTAGGAGATGGAAACTATAGTACCTCTTCCATTGTAAGTTGTTGAACAGCTTCTCTGAGCTGATGGGTGACAAGTGAGTTATCCGGTTGTCATGGTGACCGACATCAGGGCTTAAACAGCCCAGGGCAAGATAACTGCCACTCTCCGCTTCCTCTGACTCCTCCTGGCAGCCCTGCGGGGGGTGGGGGTTGTGGGGGTGTCACTCCGGTTGTGGATGAGGAAACTGAGGCTCAGAACAGGGCAGTATCTTGCCCCAGGGCACAGGGTGGGTGCGTGCAGAGCTGGGTCCAGCCCGTCCCTGGCACTGAGGTTGCCTCCTTTCCCAGGGGGTTCTGCTCCTCGGGTGGATTTTGTCCAGATCTGTGGGACGGGGCCAGGCTTCTTGCTGGCCTTCTCTTTGGTGTGGGGAGCAGTGCTGAGGGGTGGGGTGACCCTAAGAGCCTTTCAGAGGCCAAGGATTGCCAACACAAATGTGTCTGCTTCCAGCTTTTTCTTTCAACAGAGGTCTCCCTGTCAGTTCTCTGATCCAGAGGAGGAGGTTGGGGGTGTCTGGGGACACTGGGAACCATGGGAGTCAGAGGTCAGGGACTGGCTGTGTTCTGGGGACCCCATGCAAGTTACATGTCCTCCAGGGCACCCGTTCCCTGTGCTGGGAGGTCCCTGAGGCTCTGAGGCCTCACCGTCAGGCTCCTGGGAGAGGAGGGGCCAGGCTAGCAGACAAGTGGCGGCGCCCCAGGACCCCCACATTGTTGCTGGCAGCTGTGTGTTGCTGACCCACTTGGAGTCACAGAGACTCGGGACCTGGAACACTGCGGGCTTTAGGCCACCTTAACACTAACAGCACCAGCAGTCAGTGCGCACATCGCCCCCTCCCCGCCGTGCGCGGGTCTGCCCTCCCCTGCCTGCCCCATCTCACAGAGGGGCAGCCACGGCCCAGGGGCGCTCGGGTCAGAGCGAGGCATGTAGCCTGCTGGTTCCTGGGGTCAGGTAGTGGGCAGTGCAGGAGGGTGGCTGTGGGAGGTGGTGTGGCGCCCGTGACGTCTGTCAACCTGTGGTGTGCCTTGCCTTGCCTGATTCAGGTTCTCCCCCGACGGGCGGCTCATCGTGTCCGCCAGTGATGACAAGACTGTCAAGCTGTGGGACAAGACCAGCCGGGAGTGTGTGCACTCGTACTGCGAGCACGGCGGGTGAGTCCCCGCCGCCTCCGCCCGCGGTGCTTCAGAAAAGCAGGGGCCCGGGCAGCCATCTCTGCCACCCTCTGGCTCCAGCTTTCCTAGTGGCTGGCAGGTTCAGCCCCATTCCTACCAATAAGGGGGAAGCTTAACCCCTTGGGTGGGCTCTACCCCAAGGCACATCATTCTTGGGGCCCCTCTTCACTCTCTGCTTCTCAGAATTGTGACGTCTCTCTGAAAGCAGTTGAACCCACCCCCACCCCCCAAAAGCACGTAGGTGTGATGCCTGTGTGGTGGTGGCTTTATAAGTGAACGGATCGCGATCTTGTGGTGGGCGGTGGCTCTTCACACTGCATGTCATCGGGAGTGGGAGGAGCCTGCAGCTCAGCAGCACTCCCCTGTTCTGGGTTCCTAAACGCACCTGAGCTTTGGCCTCCTCAGTGAGAGCCCCGCTGAGAGCTGGCCATGCCACCCACCTGGGGTCCCGCCCGGCACATTGAGGGCCCCAGGCCCTGCTGGCCTTCGCGTGCTGCCTCCAGCCCCAGTGAGGGCGCCCTCTCTGCCTCGGAGCCCCGAGCAGTCGGCTGACCTCCGGTCTGAAGGCTGCTTTCTTCCTCGTATTTAGAAGTTGGTGCTGGGCCTTGTTCAGGTCGTTTCTGTCACTGCTCCTCCTCGCTCTCCTTGGCCACCTGCTACAGAGACGGTGGGGGGAGGGTTCCTGGGCTTCCAGGGACAGCAAATGCAGATGAGGGGTGGGACGGTGCCAGCACAGGCCTCTGTGACGTGACAGCCCTGTCTCTCCAGCTTCGTCACCTACGTGGACTTCCACCCCAGCGGCACGTGCATTGCGGCCGCCGGCATGGACAACACGGTGAAGCTGTGGGACGTGCGGACCCACCGGCTCCTGCAGCACTATCAGCGTGAGTGTCCTGCGCCTGGGAGCCTGCGGACAGCCCTGTCGGTGGGAGGAGCCCAGTCCATCAGGATCTCCAGGGGCGGCAGCCTTGGCCAGGAGATGGAGCATGGCGCGGCCTGGCGTCCACCAAGCCCTTTGTCCCACTTATGAGTGACAGAGGCGCATGCTCACTGCAGGGCCGGATGGAGAGCCCTTGCTGGGTCAGGGCTCCCCTCCAGGGGCACCTCAGGCGCTGCCGGTGCCACTGCCTCCCCCTGTAGTAGAGGCTCTGCCCCCCAGGGCCGCGCTGGCAGCCCTGGATCTGCGCAGGGGACTAAGTTTAAAGTTCATGGGCTCACTTACAGAATTCACACCTGAACACGGGAAGGACACATCTGGACAAGGTGTGCGCCTGGGGTTCAGAGCAACACCCCACAAGCCTTCCTAGTGGATTCTCAGATGCTTGAGGACAGCACTTTCTTGGGGTCATCAAAGTGACAGGCCTCCAAGAAGGGGGAGCGGGTGGTCTTAAAAGCACGTGATGGAGGGGGCTCTGCACCCATGTCAGTGTCCTAGCTGCGTGACTTGGGTGGGTCGTGTCCCCTCTGGGCTTCCTGGGGCAACGATGGGGCCTCTCGCAGGTGGTGCTGGGAGGATAGAGTGGGTCCATGGAAGAGCTTGGAAAGTGCCAGGCCTGAAGCGGGAGCCAGGGAAGTCCGAGTGACCATGACAATGATGCTGCTGATGCTGGGTCTCAGTCTGGAGTTAGGAGGTCTGGTGTCCTTGCAGGCCAGCCTCCGTGGTCAGGACCTGCAGTACCCTGCACGACCACCAGGTGGCAGGGCCAGCCACAGGAATTGATTATTTCTCCACAGAGCCCTGGGGTTTGTCACTGATGATGCCGATTTCAGAGGCTTCTAGAACAGAGCTGAAGTGGGGGTCTGCCCTCTACTTGGAGGCCACGCCTCTCCCCCCTCCAGGCTTAAAGGCCTTTCTTCTGCTCCAGGCGACGTTGGGGAAGGTGGGCAGGCACAGAGGAGCCCTGGGCGTCAGCAGAAGGGCTTGGACAGGGAGAGTGGGGAGGTGCGGGTTGCGCAGGCTGCCCCCTGTCTGTGAAGGGTGGCCACAGTGCCCTTGGTACGGGGTCCTGAGGAGGTCATGCAGTGCTGGCAGCATGGCTGGGGAGGCCGGGCCCACCTCTGATGGGTCGGGAGCTTGGTGGTAGGGGCAGCAGTGGGCATCCATTGGGGAAGGCCTTGAATGCCATGCACTGGCCCAGTTCCAAAGGTGCAGGCTGGCTGTAGCGCTGGGACCCCCGTCCCTGGAGTGAGGGATGAGAGGCACGTGAGGACCAGTGCCGAGAGCTGCGTGGCAGGAAGCAGTGAGCCTGGGTGGCAGGCAGGTGGGCTGCCCGTGCCCGATGTGCGAGTGGGGGCCGAGCATCAGCGGAGCAGGGTCAGGCTGGGATGGGTTTGGAGCAGAGGTAGGAGCCAGTGCTGTGGGTGGAGGGGCCAGCTGGGCCCGGGGATCTAGCGTGAAGAGGGCTGAGGCCCCATCCTGGGCCCCTGCGATTGCGGGGCCACGGAAGAAAAAGGCCCACAAAGCACCCAGAGGAAGGGGTGCGAGCCCCTCTCCCAGCAGGAGGGCTGAGGAGGCAGAGCCAGGGGGGAGCAAGCGGGGTGTGCAGCGGGCGGTCAGGAGGGGGTGGCGCAGAGCAGTCAGGGAAAGTGGAGGGTGCTGTGGAGAGGTCCCTGGGTCCTAGGGAGCGGGCTTGGTGGTGGGGGTGGGGGGAGGCCAACGACTGGCAGGGCTGGGGACTCAGGTGGCCTCAGGGGCCCAGGCCCGAGGGACCCTGTGGGGAGGTTTCAGCCGGGCTCTGCTGCTGCCCTTCCCTCTTGTACCAGCGCCACTCGGGGAGCCCAGCATCGTGTTCCCTGCCGCCTACTGTAGGTCAGAGGCTCCGGGGAGCTTGGGGTACCCCGCAAACAACCGAATTCCCTCGGAGCTTTGGGCAGGGTATGTGGTGGTGTTCACGGGGCAGCAAGCCCATCCCCCCACCCTAAGCGCCAGGAGAGCCTGGTGGTTGGGGGGCCACCCTCTTTGTTGCTGGAGGGACCTGGCCAGGTCTGCTCTGGTCAAGCGGCCCCCAGACAGCTCCATGGCAGCACCTTCTCCCGAGAGGCTCTCCCCTGCCCAGAGGGAGGCTGATTCCCCAAGAGGGACTCCCGGCGCCTGGCAGCAGCCACCTGCGCGGTGCTGTCCCTCATGCCTAGGAAACCCTGGGGGAGGTTTTAAGGACACAGTGACAGCCAGGGCACCCCGGTGATGGGGGAACAGCAGGCACTCCTGAGTGGGCTTTGGGCACGTGAGGATGTTGGCTGTATTGGGAGAATTCCGTTCACAACACTGTGTGGCCAGCTGCCCCATGGTCCTGCTCCCCGCAGGGTGGCCTGGCCGCCGGGTGGATGGCCCTTGGGCTGGAGGAGGGAGCTGGTGTGTTTGTCTCGGGCGAGGGGTTGTTGGCTGCGGCCGCTCTGGTTCCCCAGCTCAGCAGGGAGTCGGCAGGTGCCGGGCCTGGGAGCGCCCGTCCCGCAGAGGTGGGTGAGGCCCATATGTGCAGCCCACACTAGCTGTTCAGACATGTGGCCAGCAGTCCCCACCCCAGAGCCACAGTGTGCTTTGTGGCTTCCAGGCCCGTGCAGGTCCATCACCCCGGGACAGGCTTGGGGGTCAGCAGAGCAGGGCTGCTCCCTGTCTCACAGAGGGGCAGTTTGAGGCTTGCCCACGGTCAAGCAGCGAGAAGCTGTGAATCTGGGTCTGTGACTCAGGGCCCCGAGTCTGGCTTCTGTCCACCATCCCACGCTGGGCTCCTGGCACCAAGTTGATTCTAGTCATTGGCTTGCCCAGGCCCCTGAGGGCTTGGCCTGCCCTCGCTGGAAGCGTGAGCTAGAGCTCCGAGTCCCCGTTCTCTGTCCCCTAGGCCTCAGCCCCCCCCCCCCCCCCCCCCCCCCCCCCCCCCCCCCCCCCCCCCCCCCCCCCCCCCCCCCCCCCCCCCCCCCCCGCCCAGGTGTGGTCACGGGGTTTTACCGCAGCTGTGCAGACAGCTGTGCCCCTTGGCTTGGTCTCTGAGACGGAAGGGGCTAGTCAGAGGCAGTGCGGTCTCCCCGCTCCGGCCAGCTCCTGGGCCCTTCCCCACCAGCCCTGCGAGGCGTCCACGGGACATTCACGGGTCAAGAAGCTGTCCTGGAAGGCCGATGGGGCTCCCCAGAGCTCCTCCGAGTGGGGCCACCCTGGCCCAGCCTCGGGTGGCCCTGATGGCCCTGATGGCCCGTCCTCAAGCCTCAGCAGGGCCCCGGGGCCTCCCAGCTGCGCCTAACGAGTGGCCCTTCCCCAGTGCACAGTGCTGCGGTGAACGCCCTCTCCTTCCACCCGTCGGGAAACTACCTGATCACAGCCTCCAGCGACTCGACCCTGAAGATCCTGGACCTCATGGAGGGCCGGCTGCTCTACACGCTCCATGGGCACCAGGTGAGGGTCGGCCTGCGCAGCGTGGAGTGGGGCCGATTGAGGCGGCAGTTTCTGTGGTCCCCTGGCTGCCTGGGCAGTGGGGTGAGACGCAGGAGCGGGTTTGTCCCCATCAGACCTATGACCCCCATCAGAGTGCTGGGCCTGGCCCGCAGCTGAGTAGGGACTCGACTCGGGAGCTCAGTGGGGTGGGAGGGGCAGGTGGCATCTGGACGTGGTTGTCAGACTCCCCCTGGGCTGGCTGAGTGCCGCTGTCCCCTCGGGACCTCAGGCATCTCTGTCCCGCTGGAGTGGAGCCTGGAGCCACTGCCCTGCTGGCCTCGGGGTCTCCAGGCTCTGTAGGCACCGCTGCCCTGGGAGACTCAAACAGCGAGCGGGAGGGAGACCTGCACATCCGTGCGGGAGCGCCTGGGCTCGGGGGCGGCTGTGCGGGAACTTCTGGGCTCCAGGGTGGCTGTGTGGGGCGGCTGTGCGGGAACTCCTGGGCTCCAGGGTGGCTGTGTGGGGCGGCTCCACACCTGAGAGGGGCTTTGCCCGGGGTCTGCAGGTCTGCTTGTAGTGCCCCTAGTAGCCCTGCCCATCAGGTCTCCTTCCCCAGGGCCTGAGTCCCGGAGGCCAGGCCTGGTATTCGAGGGCCCTGGGCTGGATGGGGGTGCAGTGCCCTCTCTGAGCTCTGCAGTCTTCTTGTGCCACCTGCCGGGCCCTGCCAGAGAACAGGAGGAAAGGGAGTCCCTGCTACTTGCTGTGTCCAGGACAGATGTGGGGTCAGGACTGCCCAGGAGCCTCCTCCCCCAGCTCCCCTCACTGCAGCAGGAAAAGCCCGAGAGGGAGGGCTCCCCCCACCACGTTGCCCTCCGAAGCCGTGTGCCCGAGCCAGGCCCCGGAGCTGTGTGGCACGCGGGGAGGCAGTGCCCTCGAAATCGAGGCTTATTTTTCTGTATTTTCTGAAGCATCTCAGGCCGTGCTCATTTGGTTTAGGTCCCAGAGCTATTTGGGAGAGGGTGGTGGGCGGGGTGTGGGTGGAGTTAAATCTGGTGTTTGTGGCTGTGCAGTTGGTGTTCGTGTCGCTGTGGAGTGACTGAGTGGCACAGGGACCAGTGGCATATGGTTCCACGCGCCCCAGCTGGCCCACAGTGCGGGCAGGCAGCCATCGCTGAGCCCGGACCCCACCCAGGGCTGCTGTCTGCTCGGAAGCTTGGTCGTGGTGCAATCACAGGCTCAGATACAGACCCACCGATGTTCCTGCAGCTTGTGCACACGGGGCCTCGCTGGGCTGGGACAGTGGCCACCAGGGGCCTGGCCTGTGGGAGGTGAGGCAGCAGTGTGACTGGCCTGGGGCATGCGGGCCACCTGGGCTGCTCCAGTGGGAGGGGAGGCCATACCTCCTGGCTTGGATAATCAAAAGGGGGAACAGCCCTGGCTGGTTTGCCTACAGACCCAAGGGTTGCAGGTTCAGTCCCTGGCCCCAGTCGGGGCAAGTGTGAGAGACAACCAGTCAATATGGCTCTCTCACCTCTCTCTCCCTCCCTCCCTCCCTCCTCTCCCTCCTTCTCCCCCCCCCCCGGCACCAATCAATGTGTCTCTCTCACATAGATGTTTCTCTCTCTCCCTCCCTCCTTCCCTTCCTCTCTCTCTCAAAAAGTCAATGGAAAAAATATCCTCTTGGTGAGGATTAAAAAAAGGGGGGGGGGGACGACAGCTCATTAGTTTCAACATAACCCAGCCGTCGGCCTGGCCTCTGTCCCCGGCCTGCAGCCCTTGGTTGAGGCTGGGAGCGGATGTCCTTGCCATGGCCAGGAGAGAGCCTCGGCGTTCCAGGGCAGCTGCTCCGCCCAGAGGTCCTCCTTGCTGACGGGGCCACCCCGGGACACACAGCCGCTAAGCAGACGCTGGCGAGCGAGTGCCGGAGCCTCCCGGGGGGGTTGGGAGGAGAGGGTCTGAGTGCGGGTCAGAGGCCAGAGCACCCGCCGCCCAGGCCGGGATTGGTCGCTGCCTCTCGGGCTGCTGGCCTCTCCGTGGGAAGTGGGGACAGTGGTGTCAGCCCAGCGTGGCTGCCAGGGTGGGCTGTCCTGCTCATTCCACAGCCCATGACCTGCCTTTGTCCTGGCAGAGGTCTTAGGGTGGCGCTCATGCCCGGGGTGGGGACCGAGGCCGAATGAGGCCCTCAGCCCTTGGTCCTGCGGCTGCGGTCGCTCAGCTCCGGGTTTCTTGCGGTGCTTCTGGAATCTAGGGTGACCTTGGTGTGCGTGCTTTCTCGCTTGTTCACAGGGTCCGGCCACCACTGTCGCCTTCTCCAGGACGGGGGAGTACTTCGCTTCTGGCGGCTCCGACGAGCAGGTGCGTAAGGAGCGGCCTGGATCTCGCCGGTGCTGACCCATGGGCAGCTGAGGCGGCTCGGGGAGGCGGGGCCAGCGTTGCTGGTGGCTTTCAGTGGCCACCAAGGCCGGAGCTGGGGGCGGGTGCTCAGACCCAGGGCCCTCACCTCCCCAGAGCAGTGCCGGCCCCGTGGCAGGGTCTCGGAACGCTCACCGCTCACACCAGCCTGGGGGCCTGGTTGCTGCCACGGAAGAGCTAAAACAAAGCTTTAAACCACTTCTTTCTCCTGATCGTGTGTGAATAATGAGGTCATGAGTGGGTGCTTGCTGCGAGCCGGGAGCGGAGGCCATGTGGCCGTAGCTCGGCCTCACTTAGTCCGCACGGCAGCCTGTGGGCGGCCCTCTCATCCCCCATCCTGTGTGTGGCGAGGAAACAGTTTCAGCAGAGCTGGGGTGCCCTGGGGCCCCCCCTCCGTGGTCGGCGCCCTTGCCTCCTGGCCCGCCTGCGTGCTGTTGGCAGGGGTGGGGGAGGTGTCAGCATTTTCAGACTCCAAGGCTGCAGAGGGCACGTGTGAGGGGGGCCTGGCCTGCTTGTCACCCTATGAGCTGAGGCCCTGGGGTCCGGCCCAGGCCTGGCACCTGGGAGGCCTCGGGGGCATTGATGACTCCGCCCGTGGGAAACCCCTCCAGGTTCCCGGGTGGCTGGCTGTCCAGGGAGGAAGGCGGCCATTCTGAGCCACTCCTCACCTGGTGGGTTGCCCAGGAGGCCTCTCTGATGCCGGGCCTCAGCTCTGACCGTCCAGCCACCCTCCCAGGGAGCCCAGCTCCAGCCCCGTGGGCCGGTGTTGGTTGTGTCTCTGCCAGGAAATCGGGGTTGGGGGCAGGGGGACTTCCAGCACAGCTCAGGTAAGGGGCGGCAGGCGTCTTCCCAGACCTGCACTGGCGCCTGTGCGAACCATGAGGGAGGAGGAAAGCAGAGGGGACCCCGAACCTTCCCTGGGCGGGGAGGCCTGGCTCGTTGCATGGGAGGCAGGAAACCAGGCCAGTAAATTCACGGCACACGGCAAGTCCTGGTGAGGATGGCACCCAGTCCAAGAGGCAGCCGGTAGCATGTCCACACTGGCCCATTCCCGGGCAGCTGCTGCCTCCCTGGTCGGTTCTGAGAGCCTCAGGGTGACCTCTGCCAGCATCCCTTCCTGTCCTGGTGGCCCTTCTGCTGCTGGAATTGGCTCAGCAGTGGGTTGCCCGGGGCACGTTGAGTTTGCATCTTATGTGGATACTGTGGCCGCTGTCCTGGAAGTGGGCCTACCCGAGGGCAGCCACACGAGGCTGACACCCTCCAGCAGGGGGCGCTCTTGCTGCCCAGGAGCCTCTAGTCATGAAGGTCCTCGCAGTGGGAGGTGAGCTAGAGCGAGTGTTACCGACTTCTCCCGGGTGCCAGTGTCTGTGCGGAGCTGTGAGCCTCCCTGCAGCCCTTGAGGTGGGAACTAGGATCGTGCCCTTTTCACAGATGAGGAAACTGAGGCATAGAGGGTTGAGTCCCTTGCCTAGAGTTGGGTGGAACTGGGATCTTCACTCCCTGTGGTCTGGGCTGGAGTCCACATGCCCACCACTTCTCATGGCCACAGGCCAGGCCACCGCCCTTGGAACCCCTGTTTTAGTGGGGAGACATGATGAGGAAAAAGGGCAGTTTAAGCAGCGACCCTGGTGCTCTGAAGGAAGTCGGGGCCCTGGTGAGAATTAGCAGCGGCCAGGACGCCCAGCAAGTGCAGAGGCCTGGTGGTCCAGGTCCCCTCCAGGTCCCCTCCAGGCCTGTGCAAAAGGCCTGCTCTCTGTGGAGGTGGGGCAGGTCCCAGAGTTGAGTTGGGGTGTCAGGTGGGGATCACTGTCCTGCCTCTGGCCCAGAGCTATGGGGGTGGCCTGTGGGCCCATCTTCTCCAGGAAGGAGTGGCGAGGGTGTCTCCCCTAATTCTGTGCTTGTCTCGGCAGGTGATGGTCTGGAAGAGCAACTTTGATGTTGCGGATTATGGAGACGTCACGAAAGGGCTGAGGCCTCCGGCCGCGCTGGCCAGCTCCTCCAGGAATCTGGTAAGTGGCCTGCAGGTGGGTTTGAGCCTGGCGGCCTGGGTCTCGGTGAACTGCATTGGGCTCGGAGACGGTGGGGGTCAGAGGCTGGTCATGGACGGGACTAGTAAGACTTGTCATTTAGCGAATACACTTCGGCCCTCGTGGTGTTGCTTTGTTTCAGATCTGGGGTGAGCAGCCAAGGTGGGAGGGCCGCAGAGCAGGCAGGCTGCCGGAGCCTGGGCCCGGGCAGCCCACTTGGCAGGGTGTTGCCACGGCACCCACTCCTGTGGGGGTGAGGCCCGAGGCACGAGACCACGGCACCCCCGGTTCCTGGAGGGTGCGGGCTGAAGCCACAGCTGGGCCCTGTGGCTCTCACTTCCTTTTGTTTAAACCACGGAAAGGAAGTTCCTCAGCTACAAGCCATTTCGGCACCGTGGTTGGTAAGAGGGCATTCCGTGTTCCTGAGTTAAAATAGGCAATGCTATTTGGGGGGAAACTGATAGCTGATAAGCCTCACTGAGTAAGGGTGCATTCAGCTTTGGCTGAAACCCACACTGAAGCCAAGGTTGCGAGCCGGAGGGTCTCGGGCCCCAGTGGCCACAGGCCGGGAGCTCCTCCTGGCCCTGGAGGCAGCGTGGCCTCTCCCACCCCCGGAAACTGGCCTGAACAACAGGAAGCGGCTTGTCCAAGGCCCAGCGAGCCAAGGCTGCCCAGAATAGAACCGGGAGGCCTGGTCCCTCCAGCCTTGGGCTCCGCTAGGGACCCCTCTTCCCCACACTCCTGCCCTTCCCCGCCCCAGCAAGGGAAGAACCCCACACCCCTCTTCTTGGACAAGCGGCGGGGCCTCTCGTCCTTCAGTCCTGGCTCAGAGATGAGGTGGGCTCCCTTGCTTCCCAGAACGGTGGGGCCTGGCCATCTGGGAAGAGGCCTGTGGGCAGGGAGCCAGCAGGACACGGCAGGGTGGGCATCCCCACGGGGGCTCACGTGGAGGGAAGCATGTGGGCTCTGGGGTCTGAACCCTGCAGTGTGGTTCCAGGCAAAGCCCCCCCCTTCCCTGGCCTGGGTTTACGGTGAATAACAAACAGGACCTCTAGGAACTGGTTTTTTTCAGTGAAGATCTCGCTCCAGCCCACAGACCAGAGATTGTCCTTGCCCTTCCCGACTGTGGGCTCGGCTGCACGGGGTCAGGCCTAGTGAGTGGTGTGGTGGCTGCCAGGGGCTTGGCTTCTCGGGAGCCCATGAGCACCATCGCTGTGCCCGCCCCCCCGCCCCAGCTCTCGAATCTGTGACCCCGCCCCCAGCTCTGCGTACTCCAGGCCTTGGCCCTGAAGCCACATGAGTCACGCCCGGGCATTTGAGGACTGTAGGAAGCCCATTGGGCCAGGTGCTGGGTCGTGACTTCCTGACGGTGGGCTTGTTAGAGTGTGGCAGTTAGAAGCCAGGGAGGCAGACAGGGCGGGCAGCCCCCTGAGCCCCAGCCTGGACCCCGCCCAGGACCTGGCTCTGAGGCGTTCAGCTCCTGTTGGAATGAGGCCGTCCCTGAGCCTGCTCTGAACGGGGCCCTGTTCACTGTGGAGCTATTTTCAACCTCGGGGGAAATTCACAGCTTATTTTTAGGCGCTTTCCATGTTGAAAAGCAAAAGCCATTTCCCAGCCCTTCAGAATGTGAATAATGGGTCCCACTTTCTCCCTTTTCTTGGCCGAGTTGTGGTGAGGGTTTTTTTGCTGTGGTTGGGGAGCTCTCTCTGCTTGGGGGGCTGCAGAGGAAGGGCTGAGGGTGGGCAGGAAGCTGTGAGGCTGGAGCGAGGTTGGAGGGTTCCGAGCAGGAGGCCTCCGGAGGGGCTGTGGGGCCCGCGAGCATCCGTGCAGCCGGTCCTCGCCGCTCACTCCCTCCTGTTGTCCGCTTTGGGGCCTGTCCCTGAGGCCTAAGGACCACGTGTCTTGGCTGACCGTGGCTTGGGCACCTGCCCCTCAAGTCCCAGCTGCCACAGGACTGATTCTGCCTCAACCACGGAAGCATTTAAAAATCACTTCGAGTAGCAAAGTCTCGTCTATTCCGATTTGTTCTCGCCCTCCCTCCACACATCTCGGAGCCCATTATGCAACTGGGAAGGAAGGCTGTGGGCGGGGGGAGTACGGAATTCTGGGTAATTCAGGAAAACTGAACACCCACTCGGTAAGTTCTTGGGGCTGGCTGTCCTCCAGTGCAGACAGCAACCTCAACTTCTAGGGCGAGGCCCTGTCTCCTCACCTCACGTGGGGGAGGCCAGGCCTCCCTGCTGACCTCCCACCCGGTGGCACATGCCAGCGGCCTTGGCCCCGTGCCTGGCACCTGGCGAGTGCTCAGCATTAGCTATTTTTAAAATGTTCCTTTTCCTTCCTCCGTCCCATCAAGAGCTGGGTGACTCATACCACCAGTCAGGGTGATAGTGTGTTCAAACCTAGGGGAGACCCACAGGCCACCATAGCCAGCCCTCAAGGGGGTGGAAACAGGCCACTGCTCCTCCTGCCCAGGATGTCTCTGGGCAGGGTGCTGAGGACCCGGGCCTCAGGGCGGAGCCTCCGGGCAGGGTGCTGAGGACCCGGGCCTCAGGGCGGAGCCTCCGGGCAGGGTGCTGAGGACCCGGGCCTCAGGGCGGAGCCTCCGGGCAGGGTGCTGAGGACCCGGGCCTCAGGGCGGAGCCAGCCCTGGAGGAGGAGGCCTCCGCCTCCCGGAGGATGGTCTGTTTCTGCTTTGGGCTCCTCTGGTCCCTTACTGACAACGGAGGTTTCTGGCTGGGGTTTGCTGTCCATAGAGAGAAGTGGGTTTGAGGGAGCGCTTGGCAGGGAGGGGCGGTGGGTGTTGGAGCAGGAATGAACCCCCGGTTTACATGTCTTAGAGGAGCCGCTCCTTCCTCCCCGAACTCCTGTTCTCCGCGTTTCTCAGACTGTTCAAGGGGCTCTTGGCAGCAGGTGTGTCAGAGGAAGCCACGCGCGCGGGCATCTTGGGAAAGTGTTGGTGTCACGGGCCCAGGCTCCACACAGTGCCTGCCTCTGCGCCTGGGCTCGGCCTCTGGGGCCGAGATGGGCCTCTTACGTGCTGGGCTCTGGCTGAGGAGCGCCCCACCAGTGCCCTGGTCCCTGGGAACGGGAGCCTGGTGAGAAGCAGTGGCCCCGCGCTTCAGCGCAGGTCTCCCTGGCGGCTTGTTAGAGCCCAGTCAGCTCAGTCAGGAGTCTGCGTCTCTAACAGGCGTCCACTGCCAGCCACAGCTGCTAGAAGGCAGCCTGCCCACTGTGACGCCGGCATCCAGGACTGCGGTGGGGAGGAGAATCTGTCCATCGTAGGAAGTTTCCAGGCTCCAGGGCCACAGCAAGGAGAGGCGCCTGGGAGCTGTAGGCGGCCTCTCCCCAGAGGAGGGATGTGCTGGGTCTACTCTCCGCGCCGTGCCCAGTGCCCAGTGCCCAGTGCCTGCAGTGCCAGTGCTGCTGCGGGCTCCAAGCCCAGAGGCCCCGCGGGCTCTGTACAGCCGGCGGGAGAGTGCAGCTTTACTTCCCGCCAAGGATGTCAGAGGGAGGGTGGGTCAGCGCAGCCCTCCTGGGCCTGCGGGCCTCTTCCGTCCTATCCCTTAGTGCTGCTGCGTCTGTCCAGCCACCTGTTCTTCTTTCATTAAAAAATGTTTTTATTGATTTCAGAGAGGAAGGGAGAGGGAGAGATAAAAACATCAGTGATGAGAGAGAATCATTGCTCGGCTGCCTCCTACACGCCCCCTACTGGGGATGGAGCCCACAGCCCAGGCATGTGCCCTGATAAGGAATTGAACCATGACCTCCTGGTTCATAGGTCGTTGCAAAGCCACCTGTTCTTGAATCCAAAGGCCACCTTCCTCCTGCCCTCTGCCCTTTGCCCTCTGCCCAGCAGATGTGGTGCCTGGGCCGGCTCCCCTCCTCCAGAGCCTGTGGGCCTTTAGGGGAGCGGGCAGGTGACAGTGTCTGATACCTGAGCTTGAGGCGACCTGGGTGCCGACAGTGATGACAGCCTGATCGGGCCACGCTGACGAGTCCCCTCCAGGGAGAGCCAGCAGAGGTCATAGGTGTGATGCAGGGGCAGAGGGTGGGCAAGACCTGAGGCCACTGGCACCTGAGTCTCCTTCCCTCCGCCCTCCCTCCCTGCCCCCTCCATCCTCCTCCATGCTACTTTTTCAAACCCAGAAACCTGAAAATGGAAGAACGGATCCACAAGTGGAAGAGCCCCGGTTGCTTAAGTCTCACTGATGGTTTGGGCCATCTTCCTGTTCCCCAGCAGAGCTACACTCATCCTTTCCAGGTGGCACCTCCTCCGTGCAGTCTTCCCAGGACGGCCAGCAGCTGGGAATCCACCCCACCCCACCCCCAGGCACTCTGCTCGCTGGGGCGGCCCCTCTCTCTGGAGGCAGTTACTCACAAGCCTCCCTCGTGTCCTGGGGGCCGGGGGCTTGCTCTCCCGTGGTGCCTAGCACGTGTCTGGAACAGGATGCTCAGGACGTCAGTTCAGTGGGCACGTGCCTGTGGGCAGCGTGGGGGAGTGTGAGGCTAGAGGCAGCTCTGGCTCTATCCTTTGGCATTTTGAGGGTCCCCTGACTGAAGGAACTTTCTTGCCTGGTTTGTTGGGGAGGGGGTGGCATGGGGTGGTCTGGGCAGTGGAGGGTGGTGGAATCTGCGTTTCTGGATGAGAAGTTTCCGTCCTTTTCGTTGTCAGTGGGGATAAGCCCTTTGCAGCTTCTGTCTTCCAGATTGGATGGCAGCCTGGCCCATGTGGTGTAGGGTGCTGGGTAATTCTCGTGTTTATGTTCTCATTGGTTACCATGGAAAAATCAGAATAGACAGTTTCCATGGAGATTATCTTTAACTTAGTTGCTTTGAAGGTGCAGACATTGCTGCGGGTTCACTGGACGCTCAGGTGCCCTCGGGGCTTTCTCTGTGGCAGTGCCTGGGCTGCTCTGAACACACGTGGATTCGGGCAGATCTGCCTCCTGTGCTTGAAGAGGCCAGGACGAGCGGGGGTG